CAAATAAATTTGTATAATATCATTTATTACAAATTTTTAATATATAGTAGACATACAATATTTTTACATTTTCATTGTTGCATGTTTTATATTATATTATGAAGCATGTCCCAAAAGTAAGATACAATCTTTTATAATAATTTAAAATACATTAAGTTACATTAAAAATGAAATTATCCATTTGAAAGTACACAGTCCATTTTTCTACATTAATGCCATTCTTTTCTAAATATTTTTCACAGCAGGAGAGAAGGGCAAAAATTCCTTTCTTAAAAAATTCTTCACTTAATGATTGAAAAAGTCCAAGACTACATCTTTAACTTTATCATTATCTAAGAAGTGTAAGCCATCCAATATATTTCTTAAGAAGTCCAGAAAAGTAAACTTTAGAAGTAGTAAGTTTAGACTATGTGCAGGATAGTCCATTACTTCCTATCCATACTTTTTTAGTCAATCTGAAATCTGATGTGGAATATAGGGAGTTGCACTACTATGCAGCAGACATATCATCCTGCATATAGTCTGGACTTAGTTCCTTTGATTTTTACCTTTTGGACCTCTTAAGAAACACCTTGGGTGGCTTACATTTCTCAGATGATGATGAAATTAAAGGTTTAATCATAAACTTTTTCAAATCACTAAGTCACAAATTTTTTCAGAAAGAAATTTTTGTTTCAATGTTGAAGAAAATGTTTAGAAAAGAATGGCAACGAAGTAGAAAAAATAGCTTAGACTTGTGTACTTCAAATGGGTAATTTAATTTTTAACGTAATTTAATGTATTTTAAATTATTATAAAAGATTGTACTTTACTTCGGGACATACCCTATACAGGTATACTTTGCCTTACGTCGGTAATTGGTTTAGGAGAGGCATCTTAAGTCGAAAAACGACGTAAGTCAAATTTACTTGTCTCCAAATTTACTTGTCACTAGGCTAAACCACAAATACCATTCCCAGTTCTGTATTTTATGTACAAATGCATTTTTAATAATATATGATTAATAAGAATCTATTTTAAGCTTACAAACAAATAAATTTTAGTTTTTAATATAGTACAGGAAAGTAATCTAAATTTACGAATATATGTATGGTATGTACATACTTGTAAATATACATGTTTACAATTTGGTGATGTTTACAGTACATCATGGACTCTTTATTTGTGAATGTGGTTTGCTCTAAGACATTATAAAATAAGATTATTTTGTAAGGTTAAATAACAAATACAGTTATTAAAATTATTTTGCGATAGTAAAAAATAAACTAATTTATGTTAAATTTACCAATATCAAGTGCGCTGACAACAATGCCAAACAGTAGATATTGGAACTATCATGGGAAATGCTAATACTCAGCTCTTAAAGACCACTAAATAAGATGACAACACAGAGTCACAGATGTTTTCATATTTTGTTCTCTATGATTTATGATGATTATACAGTCGACCTCCCTATAACACTGTTGATAATTCCGTTTTATATGAATTCCATGTTGTACGAGTCACAGATTTTATAAATACGTGTGCCGGGCTGTGAACTGCTCACGTATTTGTAAAATCTAAGTGACTCGTACAACATGGAATTCATATAAAACGAAAAAATCAACAGTGTTATAGGGGGGTCGACTGTATTAACATTTACTGTAAATGTATGTATTTTAATATGATTTTATGTGCTTTTAACACTTTTCTAGTGATATTACAATTTCAATATTTGTGGCGGACAGACATAAAGTCAAATAAAATGACTTAAACTTGATTTTTATTTTTACACATATTTTTTTGACAAACGACATATAATCAAGAACGATGTAACTTAAAACGATGTAACTTGAGGTATACCTGTATTATATAAAAACAGAACAACATTGAAAATAAATAAATGAGGAAATTAATTGTCATCATAAGACTAATAAAAAAACTTATTACTATCATGTGAAAGGTACTCAATAAGTAATGCATAATAAATTTTGAAATAATTAGTATCAAAGATATAAACAAATAATATCAGAAATATTATTTGTTTATTATACAGTGGAACCTCGCTTAATGAGCATAATTCATTCCAGAATTTCACTCATAATGCAAAACACTCGTTAAGCAAAACAGTTATTCCCATATAAATTAATGTAAAATACATGCGTTCCATGCTGAAAAAAATACTCAAATATTTTACGTATAACGTGTATTCAAAGAAAATTATACAGTATACATTGTTAAGGAGTGTGAATCATTTTCATCTTTTCTTCTAGCACAGAATGAACCAACCTGGAATGCAAATTCAATATGCAGAAACAAAAAAAAATCACAGATAACATGTTTGGTAAACATGCCAAATGATATGCCAAATTCTTGGACTATGTAAAGACTATAATTAAATATTATAAATTAATTAATTTGACTAGAGTAGGTAGTTATTCTGCCATCTTGTATTAAATTTAATAATTAATTTTTAATTTAGACATTTAATTTTTAAAATTTTAATTTTAAAAATTTAATTAGGAATTGGTTATCAAATTTAATATGAGATGGCAGCATAACTACCTACTTCTAGTCAAATTAATTAATTTTGAACATTTAATTATAGCCTTTACGTGGCCCAAGAATTTGGCATATCATTTGGTGTGTTTATTATATAATGGGTGATAGTTATTGATGTTTATACATAATATGTGTGAATGCANAATAAGATGACAACACAGAGTCACAGATGTTTTCATATTTTGTTCTCTATGATTTATGATGATTATACAGTCGACCTCCCTATAACACTGTTGATAATTCCGTTTTATATGAATTCCATGTTGTACGAGTCACAGATTTTATAAATACGTGTGCCGGGCTGTGAACTGCTCACGTATTTGTAAAATCTAAGTGACTCGTACAACATGGAATTCATATAAAACGAAAAAATCAACAGTGTTATAGGGGGGTCGACTGTATTAACATTTACTGTAAATGTATGTATTTTAATATGATTTTATGTGCTTTTAACACTTTTCTAGTGATATTACAATTTCAATATTTGTGGCGGACAGACATAAAGTCAAATAAAATGACTTAAACTTGATTTTTATTTTTACACATATTTTTTTGACAAACGACATATAATCAAGAACGATGTAACTTAAAACGATGTAACTTGAGGTATACCTGTATTATATAAAAACAGAACAACATTGAAAATAAATAAATGAGGAAATTAATTGTCATCATAAGACTAATAAAAAAACTTATTACTATCATGTGAAAGGTACTCAATAAGTAATGCATAATAAATTTTGAAATAATTAGTATCAAAGATATAAACAAATAATATCAGAAATATTATTTGTTTATTATACAGTGGAACCTCGCTTAATGAGCATAATTCATTCCAGAATTTCACTCATAATGCAAAACACTCGTTAAGCAAAACAGTTATTCCCATATAAATTAATGTAAAATACATGCGTTCCATGCTGAAAAAAATACTCAAATATTTTACGTATAACGTGTATTCAAAGAAAATTATACAGTATACATTGTTAAGGAGTGTGAATCATTTTCATCTTTTCTTCTAGCACAGAATGAACCAACCTGGAATGCAAATTCAATATGCAGAAACAAAAAAAAATCACAGATAACATGTTTGGTAAACATGCCAAATGATATGCCAAATTCTTGGACTATGTAAAGACTATAATTAAATATTATAAATTAATTAATTTGACTAGAGTAGGTAGTTATTCTGCCATCTTGTATTAAATTTAATAATTAATTTTTAATTTAGACATTTAATTTTTAAAATTTTAATTTTAAAAATTTAATTAGGAATTGGTTATCAAATTTAATATGAGATGGCAGCATAACTACCTACTTCTAGTCAAATTAATTAATTTTGAACATTTAATTATAGCCTTTACGTGGCCCAAGAATTTGGCATATCATTTGGTGTGTTTATTATATAATGGGTGATAGTTATTGATGTTTATACATAATATGTGTGAATGCAAGTTTGAAAAAATGTTTGATCACAAGCGCCACTAAGATGCTAGTGGAACGAGTGCTAAACACAGACTGATGGAGCATGCACACAATCCAGGACTTCCTCTCTTCTCGTCACTCATTAAGCAAGTTTTTTTTTTTTACAATTTGTTTTGTTCGTTATGCAAAGTGCTTATTAAGTGAGGTTCCACTATATAAGCAAGAATGCATGTCTATTTTTCAATGTATTCAATAAGGGCATAGTTCAAGGCACATTCAATAGAAAACTGGAAAAGTGCCATTAAAAGTCAGAAGGATGAGCAATAGCTTAGCAATTTTGACACAAAATTCCTAAGTCAGAGGCAACAGCAACTGCAACTGGCAACTTTGTTGTTTTATGTACAGGATAACATAAAACAATGGACTGATAAAATGGCAGTGCCTCTCCAGCAGTGCACAAAGTGAGTATGATGTAGTGTTGTTTTTGATTTTTGACAAAAACCAATCAACATCCATTAGTACATGCAAGTACAGTAAGGAGATGACAACATGAGTTGCACACAAGTGTATGAGTAGAGTTCTAAGGTTTCAAAAACAGTAACAGTTCTGTGGAATCGTACAACTCTACTTGTATATCTGTGTGCAATTCATGCAATTGTCTCCTTACTGTACTGTACCTGCATGTAGCAATGGGTACCAGTTGGTTTTACTCAAAAATCAGACAATACTACACTGCTCTTGCTTCATGCACTGCTGGAGAGGCACTGCAATTTACCAATTTATTGTTTTATGTTCTCGCACATAAACAGGTTTCCAGTCTCAGTTACCATTGCCTCTAACTTAGAAGTTTTGTGTTAAAATTATTACGCTATTTTTCATCTCCTGACTTTTAATGGCATTTTTCCAGTTTTCTACTAAATATGTAATGAATCATTCAATTGAATCTAATCTGTAAAAATAATCTATAGGGCATAGTAAAATTGATATTTTAATTTTTTATTGTTTTCAAAATTAAAAGATTTACTTCTTGACAGGATGTATCTTACAGTCAATTGTTATCGCCATCTCACCATTGTAGTCATCACATTCGATGCAAAAATCATGATATAGAACAAAGTGGAAGTTTTCATGTTTTCAATTTTCATTTTGTTCAAGATACTCCAATTCTGCGTAATTTTATTCCACCTACACCTTCTTCTATGGCTACAGAGAAATGTAATAATTATAAATAAATTTATATACTGTAAAATTTTAATAAATTTTTCTGAAATTAAATTTGTTTATATAGCAATTGAATGGGAAGATAATGGAACTTGTCATCATCCTTTTCATGTTTCAAATAATTATTATCATCCATATTTATTAGATGATCCCGAATTAGTAGCTGGCAAACATAGTACACAACTTGCTTTTCCATCTTACTTTGTAAGTATTGTTTGTGTGTTATAAATCTTAAAATTATTATATTACATATTAAAATTTATACTTGCATTTTGAGATATATAAAGGAAACAGCTGAAGCTTAATAAATAAATATGGTTACATAAATTAATTTTTAAAATAAGCATTAATTTATTATGTTTATCTGGTTTGTCTCTAAAAGTTTGGAAATTTTATATTTAAATAAAAGATGGAAATAATGAAAAAATATAGTGTTTATTGGTAATTTTATTATATTGTAAATAGAAGCGAATTAAAAAATGTTTTAAAAAGCATAAAAGTATATAAAAGTTTTTAAAACAGCATTTCATAAAATATATTTGTCATTACAACAAATGAATGTTAAATAATGTATTATAACTTATTTATTATTACAGTTCTGTGATTTTATTAATTTTCTTTAAAGATTAATATTATAAAAATCCATATTTTGTTTCAGTATAACAAATATTATTTTATACAGATATTTTCTTCTTTTATTTATTTAAATATAATTAAGTAAAATTTTAATATTTATTTGTTTTTTCTTTTAAAGCTTTTGTAAGAATTTATTTATTTATTTATT